CTCATGAATTCTATTATTGATGTTAGGAATATAGTTTAACATATATAAAATTGTAAATAATGCTGTGATTTACCTGAAAAAAATAACATTATAGAAAAGCTTGGCTGTATCCTTTTGGTAGTCAGGGAGTTTGTTAGATAAATTTAGAGATGGTAAAAATTGCAGTGGTATTACAGTAAACACTAAACTACAGTGACAATTAAATATATCTGGGCTTTTGTTTAAAACATCTAAATTCAGAAACAGATGGTAACAATTTTTATAAGCCTGGAGCCTCCAAAGGAAAACGACTCATAAGATGCTCTCACAATTTACAAAACCCAAATTGTTCTGTTGCGTAAGTCCACTGCAACTAACTTGTAGGTATTTTATTATCTCACTTCACAAGGAAGAAGATTGGGGAATTTCGACGAGGGAGTTAATTTTCTGCTAAAGATTCACAAGTGTGAAGACAGTACGATAGGAACACAATCATTTTTCGTACAACAGGGTTGGAGATGTAAAGGGCTCGAAATCAGAAGCAGCTCTGCACAAGATCCTGCTGTTTTTTTGATGCAAGAAAGTTAAATATTTAATGGAAGCTCTCAACCACTGCAGTTTTAATTATCCAGCTGTAAAAAAAATATTAAATAGCAGAAGAAGCAACAAATCCAATGTTATTTAAACTAATCCACAAGTAATGAGTTTTGTAAAACAGAGACCACATATGTTCTACGTCAAATTCCTCTGTGGTCAAGTCACACTATACTGGGCTTTTCTGTACATTAGAAGCTGACAGAGCCAGAAAGGCAAATAAAGGGGAATTCTATCTCCCCAAACACTGGGAAAAGAGAGGAAATTCCATCCATGGTGTACTTCAAATAGCTTGGTGGCCATTTTATATTTACAAGAGCAAGATTTTGTGTAATATATGTAATTAAATTGTAATGCTACCTTGGTCAGGTTCCTCAATGAAAAATGCATTCCAGTGACTGGAGCTCTCTCTCAGGTGCCACAACCGTGAATATAAAAGGAGACTTAAAGTGCAAACAATAGCTTAAATGACACATTCTATCAAGATTTAAAACATTAAGTTTGTATTATGGCTTGCACAAAAAAAATCTGAATCCTACTTTCATTTCTTCCCTTCAGAATTGCTGCATATACTGTGCACAATTGGCTCCCGCATTTCGCCTAAAAATATACACTTTACAGTATATTCTGTGAAGCACTTTGAAACATCTCAAAGACGTGATAAGGCGATATATCAAATGCAAGGATTATTATTATACACATTTATGATTGATGCTATTAACAACAAATTACATTTGGATAGCTCCTTTCACATCGGGAGGACATCCCATACATCTAACTTCAAGCGCACTGATACACTGTCCGGCATGAAGGGCACTATATAAAGCAAGTTGTTGGTGTTGTACTGTTCTAACTAATAATCTACAAGCTATTGGGCTGTAGCTTCTGTCCTCCCAACAAAAAGCAAAGGCAACATATGTTTAAAGCAAAATAAAAATGATGGTGGAATTTTATTTCTCCAATTTCCAAAATCAATCAATTTTGATAACTCTGCCCCCATGCACAACACCTTTATCATCAAGTTTATCTTAACAATACTTAATAATAAGCACAGTATGTATGTCATGTCTTAGGAATTGCTGAATAGCTTACTGTAGGTCACAGACAAGAAACAAAAAAGCAGCGTATAAATCTTAAAACGTTGATAACTCTGTCAAAATTTGGCAACTACATTTAAAAAGAGATTTTTTTTAATCATAATAAAAAGTTTTCTAATATTTTCTGTCCAGCTAATCTATAACCTTGCTCTGTTGAAGTCACTGTGAAGTCTAAAAGAAATAATGCAAGAAATTGAATAATAGTTGAAGGGGTTGGTGGGGGTGGGGGTTGGGGGAAGAGAGTCAGAATATCAGACCAGAATCTTAAGAGTGAAATGTTTTGAAGAATCACAAATCATGACTATATTTCTCAAGCTTCTGACATACTCTCCTTTCACCCTGGCCACCTGCTAGGGATTTAGTTCCCCAATGGCTTCGCAGACATCTTTATAAATATCGTTCAAATTGCAAACAAGCCAATTATCCAAAAAGTTCAGATTGATGACTGAGAAAAGAAAAGTGGCTCAGAATTCTGCACATTGCATGTTTCTTTCTTATTCTACATTCTTCTTCTGTATTCCTAAATTATCAGGCATTGAAATTTCAATGGAATTGCAATATGAAATAAACAAAAGACCAACATAGTCATTTCAAATTTCACAACTACAAATAAGTAATTGGCATTTTATGTTGAGATAATTAACTGCACAATATTTCATGCCTCTAAACAAATGATTGAAGCTACTTTGATCGTGGTTCCTCAAGTTGAAATACCACTGTCCATCTCAATTATCAGCTTATATGTTAGTCTTTGATACTGATATATGGCCATTTACTGACTCAAACATCTTGGTGCACATTGTAGAACTGGGCAGAAAAAATGAATACTTCTCAGTACTTCTCTGCATTTTCCTACCGCTCTATTATAACACATTCTATGAAGATTTAAAACATTAAGTTTGTATTATGTCTTGGACAAAATATCTTAATCCTACTTTCATCCCCAAATGAAAGTTTGCTTAAAGCGCTCAGAGATTCCGTCTGGCGTGAAAGGTGCTACATAAATGCAAGTTGTTGTTGATTTCTTCCCTTCAGAATTACTGCAGATAAATTTATGATTGGTATTATTCAAGCAAGTTTCCTGGGCTAATACAATTGAACTCAGGTGGCAGTGCCTCAGGTTTGCTCATACTTAGTATGTGGATTTTGAATGTGTACTCCATAGAATGTGTGCTATAATATACCATAAATATTTTTGGAATCTCTTGCTATTGAATCCACATAGTGTGTTTTGCCCACAAAATATACAGTCAATTCACTTTACAGTGTATTCTGTGAAGCGCTTTGAGACTTCTGGAACACATGATAAGGTGCTATATCAAATGCAAGGATTATTCTATTATTATTAACACTGTTTATGCATGGAAGGACTCAGTTTTCCTATTCAGCTACATTATTTACACACACCAATGGAGAAACTTGAGATACCAATTGCTAGAAAAATATCTTACAGAAATACAATATGGAATGGCTTATCAAAGGGGATTGGAATAAACTCAACTCTATCACAGTCTACATAAACATGTCTCAGTGACTAAAAGTATAATCACAATGACTAAAAGTCTAACCCTCCCATGCTGCTGTAGGGGCCTCCTACATCTAAACTTTCGTAAACAAATTTGTGACATTAATAGCACATTTTGGCAGGGCTTCATTCTTAAGATCCATTTATTTAAGCAGGCACTAAAACTATGCATACTAAACTAAATTAGACCTGCAGGTAAAACAGTTGCATCTGTTTTGGACTGAACAGATGGCGATTCATAGTCATGCATGAAACGAGATTTAACTCTTCCAGTTCAGTAATGCCAATGGGCTTTTTTTCCCCCCTCCCTCCAAACAATAAAGGAATAAAAGAACGATGAGACCTTGAGTAGCTTTTGAGTTTTTCCAACAAAAACTTTCACCCACGAATTAAATTAAAGAGCAGTGAACTTGCCTGAATCTCAAATTCTTTGTGAATATATTAGTAGTGAAGTCTGTATTAACCTTTGCAATTTTTAAACGTCCTGGTAATTAACAAACTTTGCTCTCCATGACTGCTGGGTGCAGACTTAAGAGTAGAAAAGAAAAAAGTAAAATGGAAAAAAAATTGGGTGGGTTGAGGGTAGGGGTTGGGGGGGGGGGGTGGAAAGGAACAGCAGGCAAACAACTAGCTCCCACAGATGTGGGGGAATGTATGAAGCATTTAGCAGAAAAGCAAAGTAACTTTCCAAATTGAGCCATCAGACAGACAACTCGTGGACTTGCTGAAGAGGAGCCAAGATGCCAAATGACACGCTGTCGCCTGTTTCTTGGATCGCTGCTTTGGCTTCTGCCACAATAGGGCTTTTCTGTGGGATTTTTCCCCCCACCCCCCCCCCCCCCAAAAAAAAAAAAAACCCCTCAGCCAGAAACAGGCGAAAAAGACTGTGGCAGTTTTGTGGTCACACCGAAGAGTGCTTAAATGAGAAAAACATGTTAGCACACTGCGTATCAGAAAGTTTAGCCGGGAGCTATGCGCTGATTAATATCAGATCCTTTCTTTCCGAGACTCTGGATGATGATCTTGTCACATCTGGGCTGACAAATCCTTACACAAGGCTCACCCACAGCCGGAGCGGCGCAGAATGCGCTACAGGACAAGTTGGAGCAGTGAACACAACACCAGGAGCGCAACTGATGTGGCACCAACGAAACCGACCGCTATCAGCACAACAGCTTAAAAGAAAATAACATCTGCACACATCTCTCTCTATACACACACACACACACACACACACTTTGCACACACATAAAAAGACAAGGCAAACGGTTTAAACGCAGCTTTCTCTTGAAGGCGGGATGGTTGCACCCCAAGTCCAAGAATGCTTGAAACAAGTCAAAAGAAAAAATAAGAAAAGATCTAAGCTATCAAGACCAGAAACGGTTCCAGCAATTCAGAACACACATGATCCAGTGCAAGGGATTTTTTTTCTTTCTCTCTCTCTCTCTCTCTCTCTCTCTCTTCCCCCCCCCCCCCCACCACCACTCTCCCTCTTTCTTTCATCTTTCACTTGAAAACTATTTTGTCCAGTAAAATGTTTTCATGCCCCCAATTCCAGGGTTCAATTCCCACACGTCCTCACTGGTGCACGAGTCGAAAGGTAGAAGTGTTTGGAGCGATTGAGATTTTTTTGTGTGTGTGTGTGTGTGTGACGAGCAAAAAAAGGCTGTATCTGGCTGGAAAAAGAATAAACGATGAAAAAGGCCTTTTTTTTTTCTTTTTTTTTGCAATTCAACTGGCACCGAACTGGCGACTTAACAGGTAGTTTCCACCTGGAGACGATGATGGTTCAATTGCTTACTTACCTCGGACATTCTTCACGACTCCTCTACTTCCACAGCCACCACACAGTTTGCCATTCCTCAACGATTTTTTTTTCTTTGCATGCTCTCTCTCTCTCTCTCTCTCACACACAGGCACAGCACAACACACAACACAACACGCAAAAAAAAAAAATGATCTGCATCAATATTCTTCCTGTCTGTACAAGTTGCCAGCAACACGTCGAATGTGGCTTGAATCTCAGCTGCAGTTCTGCTCAGCCACTGCACAGGGGAGTGGAATGAGATTCTCCTCCCACTCTCTTGTGTTCTCCAGAGTTATGAGGCTGGATGTGCTTCTCACCTCTGGAGCAAACTCTCACCTCACAGCCCCCCCCCCCCCACCACCCCCCCCAGCCCAGTGTGTGCTGAGCAATGCCTCTTGAGTCACAGGGCAGTCCCTTCACAGCTGGTTGAAACAGGGCATGACACTCACTCATCTTTCACAGAGATTTGATCAAAAAGAATCGCAGAAGCTTTTTGTTTTGGAGGGGGGGGGGTGGTGGGGGATGGGGGGGGGGTTGTTTTTGGGGCATCCTGTGAAATGCAGTCAGAACAACAACAACAACAACAAGATTCCATTTATTGAGCGCCTTTCGCGTCGGGAGGACGTCCCAAGGCGCTGTACTGTTGGGTCAGGACCCGAGCAAGGGGGGAAATGAACAGATTGTCCTTCAAACGGTGGCAGCTGGAATCAATGCAGTTAAAGCTTTTTTTGTGGGGGGTGGAGAAAAGCATCTTTTTTCACCTTTTCCTTTGCAAAAAAAAAAGCCACATGGATTACACTAAAGTCGGCTTTACAACCCACCCACTCTGCGATTGTCGTGTTTTTTTTCTTCTGGCTGTTCGTACAGCACCTCTGAACTGCTTTGACGTTCCCAAATTCATTTAACTTTCTACGTCCAGTCCGCAGAGAATGTTTTTCCAACAGGGAAAACGACTTTGGATCATCGGCGAGGTGTGCTCCCAGATAATAAAAAAAGAGAACAGCTAATTGCACGCCTTGAGATGAATAGAAAGGAAGGGTAATGTAGTGTTTAATCTCTGCATTGACAGCTGTGAGACAGGATACACTCAATGCACACAGAAACGTCGCGTTCTCCCCGAGATGACTCTTCACACTGGCATTTGACTTCGCGTTAATCGGTCGTTGTAAAATATTTACAGGGCCACATGTAGCACAGGTAGTGCCGACGATCATTGATGGCACAATGATTGTATATGTGCATGCAGACAGAGCCAGATCCAGATCGCCCACTTATAAGCATTGACCTGATCATTTGCAGCAGATCTGGGATTTACACACAAGTCAGGTGAGATCTGAAGGCAGACTGGAAAACACTTGAAAGAGTAAAGGCAAGTCAAGCTCTCTATACTGCAAATACTCCGACAGCTACAAGAGGAAGGGGGGTGTTGTGTACCTACGTTTTAAAAGCTCATAAATTATGTGTGTAATCCTGCCGATTGGTGAAACAATGGTAAGGCACTAGTTTACTCAGCATTCGTCTGGATGTGGCTGGGAGTTTCAAAATGCCATTGCTTTCCTCAGGTCCTGAATGTATCCAGATTACCTACATTTAAAGTCAGTCATTAAAAGCTTTTGACAGTCACTTCAGCTTATAGCTATTCTTGGGGGTGTGGGTGGATGGATAGGGTCTGGGGGGGAGGGGGGTGTTTGGGGGTAGGGGGAGACTAAACCATCATTGAAGGCAATTTGTTTTCAAATCAACAGGAAATGTACAATTGAAAATCAAACTGAAACGAACATGTACTCGAAGAGAAGAGGCATCTCAAGTTATTTTTGTTTAAAAGAGAAACTTGTTCTTTATCTCTGTCTTGAATATCTTACCTGCCTGTATCACTCTGTAGTATCTCAAGAGATATAAATTTAATTGCACAGAATCATTGCTTTATGTGTTCCATCTATAAATTTTAGGACATTACAGATCTGCTTTTGAAGGGGTGTGTGTGTGTGGAGATTTTGCTCATGTTAGTTTTCAGTACCAACAAGGAAAGTGGCTTGTAAATCCCCATCTAATGACTGACAGTGAGAGGAACCAAAAGGTTTCGCTGAGCTGCCTACACTTTGTAAAATTTAGGTAGCCAAACAGGCAAAAGTATGAAGCAGGTCATTAATGCACATAATAATAAACATAATAAAATGTGCCCAGTCAGAAGGAAAATCCCATCAGCCTAATTTCAGCCTGGTTCAGTTGGTAGCATTTTACCCTCCAAGTTCCACCTTGGGTCTTCAAACTCATATAGTCTAAGATGACACTCCAATACAGCGCTGGGGGTGTGCTGCATTGTTGGAGGTGCCATCCTTCGGATGAGATGTTAAACCGAGGTCCTATCTGCCTGTTCTGGTGGATATAAAAAATCCCGTGGCACCATTCGAAAAAAGGGTGTTCTGTCCAGCAATCTCCCAGATAAAATTATCCATTCATGTCATGGTTGTTTGTGGGACATTGATGTGTGCAGAACTGGCTGCTGCTCCCACCTACAAAATACACAGTCACTACACTTTACAGTAAGCACTGAGAAGCTCCACTCAAAGTGATATATCAATGCAAGGTCTAATCTCTGTGATGAAGGCCAAAAGAAAAAAAGGTTTTCTTTATTTTAGGATTTTTAAAATTGACTTTTAATTTACAGATCTTTATTTTATCATGTTGCAGTCCTAGCTGTTGGGATGCTTAAACTATTCATGTCACTGAGTTAGTATTGCAAAGAGGAATCCAGCATGAATAGCTCCAAAGTCCAGCATAGATTTTTCCTGATGTAAAATGTCAATAACACGATTTCACACAGTGCTCAGCAAACGTAAACTCATACCCAAACTCAGTGCTCATTTAGTAGGGAAGAAAACATTATTTCTCCACTGAAAACTAAGTCTCGCTGTGCAAGTTCAACGTTAGGACAGAAATGGCAGATTCTTGATCGCAAATGTCTATCAGAAGCACTGAGCAGAGACCATGAACTTCACCACAGGGAAAATTAGATCTTCCTATCCATCTTCCAGCCCTTGGTGGAGAGTCTTTTACCAAGACCTAAAAACAGGTTCGCAGCTCTTGGCCACATGTGAGGAAAAGATTGAAGAACAACAACAACAACAAGATTCCATTTATTGAGCGCCTTTCACGTCGGGAGGACGTCCCAAGGCGCTGTACAGTTGGGTCAGGACCCGAGCAAGGGGGAAATGGTCAGGGGGAGGAGAGCGAAGGAGGGAGCGAGGAGGGGGTAGAGAGTCGAGAGGGGAGCTGAAGGCTCGGTCAAAGAGAAAGGTCTTGAGACCGGCCTTGAAGGAGGAAAGGGAGGAAGCAAGGTGAAGGTACTGGGGGATAGAGTTCCAGAGCCGAGGGGCTGAGAGGCTGAAGGCCCGGCCACCGATGGTAGGGCGGTTGGGGCGGGGGATGTGGAGCAGACCGGAGCCAGAGGAACGGAGGGTACCGGCAGGTAGGTAGGGGGATAGTAGGTCGGAGAGGTAGGAGGGAGCAAGGCCGTGAATGGCCTTGTAGGTGAGGGTGAGGATCTTGAATTCGAGAAGGTATAAATACTTGCAAATATACATATGGAATATTTTGAGCATTTATTCATGATATTTTCTATTACCATTTAGTTTATATTTGCCAGTGATCACACTGTTGCACTTTGGCAACTTTAACCAAAGCTCCCAATATGAATCCATGAAACATCTCTCTCTGAGCTGAGGTTTATATTAACAGAGTCAGGGATTAAAGACCCTCTCACGTAAGAGAGAGTAAGAATATATAATAATCCTTGTGTTTGATATAGCGCCTTATCACGTTGTCGAGTCATCTCAAAGGGCGAGTATATCACTTGTGCCATTTTACCTCTCCTCAAATACCTCACATGCCAAAGCCTAACATTAAATCTCTGTAGCACCGGCCAACATTTTGCCCAGTTTATACCCACTGATGACCATAATTTAATACCGCCATGTTGGGTGAGCCTCAGAGGCAGCAAAAAATCATCTACTTCCCCTTTTAATTCGCTTCCAGAATTAATTAAGTGCTTTGCTTTTTCCAATTGGAAACCACTCTTAACTGCTTGTACAGTACTACTAGTTGCAAAATTCCAGCTTCTATTTTAGACAAACCATATGTCTGCTCCCCTGGAGCCCCTAATTTTCCTCACGTTGCTTATTTGTATGTAAATGTTGCCGCTAGCACGGATATCAGCCTTTATAGTCATTAGTGCAATGAGCTGGTATATGAATGAGAGTGTTTATTGAATTCCAACGACTTCACTCCTCTCAATCCGAAATTTGCTGAAATTTGGTCTTTCTTTAAAAGTAATCGGTGTACTCAAAAAAAGTCATAAAAGACAACAGGGTCTCTAATCTGCTACATTCGCATAACGGATTTGTTGTGGTAACTACATTTAGGTTGCTAAACACATAGACAGCAATTTGCAAATACCATGTTGGAAAAATGCAAAATAAGAATTGCAAGCAAAATGTCGGTGGGAAATTCTTAACTGCTTTCCGTGAAAGAAAAAATTTTACGACTTTGTGTCCGCGATTCTGCATTTCAGTGCCAGTGAATTTCACGAAACAGAAGTTGCAAACCTAAGATTGAAATGAACACCTCTGAATGGGTTTGTGAATGTCGCAAGTTAGACCTCAATATTTACCTTTGCTGAACGTCTTTGTGCAAGCAGCATTCGAAGGTTACAAGAGGGTCTGCCAAGTCTCATTCTTCACATTGAGACGTCCTATTTTTGGTTTAAAAATGGAATTCATTTTTGTGTGCCCCAATTTTTTTGAAAATAAACACATCCCACATATTTAAAGTGGACTTGTAATATATCTTTCTCTTTGTACTTCGAAAACCTCACTCCTACTAACGTGCCAAGGTTGGCAGTTACATGCTGGTTTGCATTTACAGTATTCCTGTCTGAGGAGGTTGGCTCGAGAGCTAAAGCACAGTGAGGTCTGGTTGCATGCCTTTCTACACTGCACCTACAGGCTCAACAAGAGCCCAGCTGTGATAAAGTCAATATAATTAACCGCATGCTGGGCAACAGATCAATTTCTAGTTGAGCCAAAGGATAGCAACATAAGGAAGAAAT